AAAATAATAATTTCGATTTGATGGCGAAGAACACGTAAAAGGAGCGCAATAAGAAAAACTCAATTACATCTTACACTTATAAGTTATATTTAGTACATAGTCAATAAAATCGTCGATTGGTTTTCCAGAAATAATAGACACGACGTCGTAAATCGCAGAATGAAGTCCCACTCACGCGAACCTCAGTGGACGGATAAAACACAATATAGGTGTAGGCTTAGCTACAATAAAATTTAACGAGATGTTTATTGATTACGTTTGCTGTATATGGGCTTCAAAACGGTTAATGGAATGATGCGGAATCAATACTGTAGCCAATTACACCGTGTGGAGAAAAGACATCTTAACAAAATCAAATAAAAAGATAATATAAAAATGTTTTATTTCAATTCTTTTTTCATTGTAGAAGTGATAATGTCCCCTTGCATTAAAACGGTACTTCACGCGAAAACGATTCACTAACATTCTTCGTTTTATAGTGTTTGAAATATCCGATAAACAAATAACATAAACTTCTGCTAACTTGTATTTAATCCATGAATTAAGCTGAACTAAAAAAATCGTTTCATCGAAAGTTATAGAAACCATTAATTAAAACTAGATTAAATTTCCTACAAAATGGCTTTTAAATCATCTTGATATCTCAATTACTTTTCGAGATATGATTGTTTAAAGTTAATTTTTTTAATTTATCCATTTTAACCATAATCCTAAAATTTGTAACAATAAAGAAGTAGTGTTCAATTCACTTAATATTAATTAAATTTGCTTCAAAATGGTGTTTATTTCATGATGATATCTCAATTCGTTCTTGAGATACGATGTTGTCAATTTCAATCTTATCAATTTAACCTCAATTAATATAAAGTTGAATTAAAATTGTCGTATCACCGAGATTTTTAGGAACGAAAGAATCGTTATGGGCGTGTTGAAACTAGATTAAATCTGTAACAAAATGGCTTTTAAATCATCTTGATATCTTAATTACTTTTTGAGATATGATTGTTTAAAATTAATTTTTTAATTTATCCATATTAATCATAATCCTAAAATTTGTAGGGATAAAGAAATAATGTTCAACTCATTTAATATTAATTAAATTTGCTTCAAAATGGTGTTTATTTCATGATGATATCTCAATTCGTTCTTGAGATACGATGTTGTCAATTTCAATCTTATCGATTTAACCTCAATTAATATAAAGTTGGATTAAAAATGTTGTATCACCGGAATTTGTAGGAACAAAAGAATTATTATTGGTGTATTGAAACTAGATTAAATTTGATATAAAATGAATTTTAAATCATCTTGATATCTCAATTACTTTTTGAGATATGATTTTTTAAAGTACACATTTATAATCTTAATTTAACACAAGTAAAAAAATTGTAACCTCGAAATTTGTACGAGTAAAGAAATAATTTTTATCTCATTAAATATTAATTAAATTTGCTTCAAAATGATGTTTATTTCATGATGATATCTTAATTCGTTCTTGAGATATGATTTTTTAAAGTACACATTTATCATCTTAATTTGATACAAGTAAAAAAATCATAACCTCAAAACTTGTGCGAATAAAGAATTAATTTTTCTACCATTAAATATTAATTAAATTTGCTTCAAAATGGTGTTTATTTCATGATGATATCTCAATTCGTTCTTGAGATACGATGTTGTTAATTTCATTCTTATCGATTTAACCTCAATCAATACAGGTTGAATTAAAAATGTCGTATCACCGGGATTTGTAGGAACGAAAGAATTATTATTGGTGTATTAAAACTAGATTAAATTTGTTATAAAATGAATTATAAATCATCTTGATATCTCAATTACTTTTCGAGATATGATTTTTTAAAGTACACATTTATCATCTGAATTTGACACAAGTAAAAAAATCATAATTTGAAAATTTGTAGGAATAAAGAAATATCATTCAACTCATTTAATATTAATTAAATTTGCTTCAAAATGGTATTTACTTCATGATGATATCTCAATTCGTTCTTGAGATGCGATGTTGTTAATTTCATTCTTATCGATTTAACCTCAATAACAACAAAGTTGGATTAAAAATATCATATCACCAGAATTTGTAGGAACGAAAGAATTATTATTGGTGTATTAAAACTAGATTAAATTTGATATAAAATGAATTATAAATCATCTTGATATCTCAATTACTTTTTGAGATATGATTTTTTAAAGTACACATTTATCATTTTAATTTGACACAAGTAAAAAAATCATAATTTCAAAATTTGTAGGAATAAAGAAATATCATTCAACTCATTTAATAATAATTAAATTTGCTTCAAAATGATATTTACTTCATGATGATATCTCAATTCGTTCTTGAGATACGATGTTGTTAATTTCATTCTTATCGATTTAACCTCAATAACAACAAAGTTGGATTAAAAATGTCATATCACCAGGATTTGTAGGAACGAAAGAATTATTATTGGTGTATTAAAACTAGATTAAATTTGATATAAAATGAATTATAAATCATCTTGATACCTCAATTACTTTTTGAGATATGATTCTAACATTTCTAAGAACCATTACAAAAAGTGTTTTAATCGAAGCAAACACTTCAGAATAATTTGAAAGGTTACTTTCACATTCTTCGATAATTGAAAATCCTAATTCACAAATATATCTTTAAATGGAAGTGCATGAACATAACTACATATAATCATGGTATAAGAAGGTGCAAATTATCACACACAAGCATGTCATTTTCGATAACTGTATGTGTTGACAAACATCTATGTACTAATTCGAGATGTATACCTAAATTTAAAATATATGTTGAAAAAATAACGTTTGAGGAGTTCAGAATATTCAAATAAAACGGTCGTAATAAGTGAATGTGCTTTCTTGGGAGGCTTGGCCGAGAGATAGTAAGAAGTGCTGTGATGCGTGAAGAGGTCGCGAAAGAAGAGGAGGTAAAATAAGGTGATAAATGGCAAAATCCTTTGATTGTCGGTTGTGTAAGTTCATCGTACTTGCGGTTACGCGCGTTCATAGTACAGTTATAAAAAATTAATACGCAGTCTCTCCTTGTTGTGGATATGACGATAATGTTGACGCACGTGTGCGTGTATGTTGTGGGCGAACAAATTTATTAGGCTATAATTTGTCAGGTAGTTTTCGTTGGGTAATAATTATTCTTTTTGGTTAAAACGATTTTTTTTAAAAGAAATAAAATGGAAATAATTCTAGCTTCAAAGGATTCCAGCCTTTTCAAAAGCATTTCTGGTACGGTTATACGAAATTTATATGAGATATTTTGCTCTGTACATAATCACCCTCTGAAAAATGGTGGAGGAATTCCCTTTGGAGCGCATTTTCCTTAAACATTTTTTTCTACATGCATGTTCTAAATTTCTGTGGAATAATTAATTCTGGAGATACGATCATTTCATTTTCATCCTTTTAAATAAACATTTAAAGAAGCAGAGTTGGATTCGAAACGTCACATCTATTAAGTTTCTGAAAACTAAGAAATAAATTAAGTCACATTAAAACTAGATTAAATTTGCTTTAAACTGCTTCTTATTTCATTGTAATATCTCAATTGGTTATTGAGATGTGATTCTTTGAATTTCCCTCTTTTTCAATATCTTCTCGATAACCTTTAAATTCGCAGCATTTTATTCAAAGTGTCGTAACAATTAGATTTATGGAAATTAAGAAATCATTTTTGGTACATTAAAATTAGATTAAATTTGCTTTAAAATGTTTTTTATCTCATTCTGATATCTCATTTAATTGTGGAAATATGATCGACGTTATGGTCACCACTGATTTAGAGCTTATAAATAAAAAATGGTAATAATTGANGAAATTAAGAAATCATTTTTGGTACATTAAAATTAGATTAAATTTGCTTTAAAATGTTTTTTATCTCATTCTGATATCTCATTTAATTGTGGAAATATGATCGACGTTATGGTCACCACTGATTTAGAGCTTATAAATAAAAAATGGTAATAATTGGGTTCAATCATGTTATGGATTTAATCTTTATGGCCCATTACTAAGGTTTTATGTATAAAAAACTTTTCTCCATCGCTTTTAGTTTATGAGTTATGATTGAGTTAATTTTTGAAAATCAACAATTTTAATGTTTAATCGATTTAGAGCTTATAAATAAAAAATGGTAATAATTGGGTTCAANGTGAGATATTCTCTCCCGTCTTCTGATCCCAAATATAAAACGAAGGCAAGAGTTCTGTACCCGTTGAATTCGAATTCTGTCCGCAGCATCAATGCAAGAATGGTAAAGCGGATCCCCGTAGTTAAAAATGAATAACACAAGTGCTTCGCACAAATATATTCTTAATTTTTGATGTAAAAGGTTTTTGTTGGAATACAATGCTTGAGAGTTGAATAAGCCCGCAGAAGAAGACTTCTGACATGACTTCTAAATCGCAAATCAGAGTCCAGAGGATTTTGATGCATTTATAGATAAACAAAGGCACGTGGCGTTCTGAAGCAATAATTCAAGATCAGAATTAATTCGAAATTCGGACATACCCAAGTCCCTCCCATCAAAACCGAGGTATATTTGAGTATCATCAGCATACATGTGGGTTTTGCAATGCTTTAGTTTGGAACAGAGATTAATAGTGTAAATTAGGTATAATATTGGTCCCAAGATTGATCCTTGAGGTATACCTGAAATAATATAACCTTTCTTCGACAAAACACCATGAAATTTTACAATTTGCGAACGATGTAAAAAATAGTTTATGAAAAAATCGATAGCCAACGGGGGAGAATCCAACATAATGTAGCACAGCAAGTAAAGTCGAATGATGGAGGGTGTCAAACGACTTATAAAAGTCAATTACGATGAGCTGTAGAGCTGTAGTACAGCTGTAACCAGGACGAAAACCAGACTGAGTAGATGGAAGTAAATTAAAAGTATTAAGATGATCCCAAATCCTTGCAGCCACAATCCTTTCTACTATCTTAGAGCAAACATTTAAGATGCTAATAGGCCGAAGATCATTTAGTCCTGAGGGGTTACTGCATTTCGTGATGGGAGACACCAAGGCAGTCTTCCATTTGTTCCAGGTTGTCTGCGGTTGGGAAATTCTTGGCAATATCGTCTCGCCGCCGTATTAGCATTGCCTATAGACGCTTCCAATGTTAAAAGCGTCTCAGTTTGCTCACTAAAACTGCACTTATTTGCCATTTTAAACAACTATTGGGAAATAATTTGACACATTACTTAGAATTCCTTTTTTTTACATTTTGAGGTTGTATCTTTTTGCGAATAACTCGAAAACGATGCGTATAATCAAAAATTTCTAAGAGTGAAAATCATTTTAAAATGAAATGGGCTTTTAGAATCAGTTGTAAAATTTAAGGGTATACGACATAATAAATAAGATTTAAGGAAATAACCTTTGTGAACACCTGTATAGCATTGATCCCGTGGTTGCATGTTTTCAAAAGTAAGCTTAAATCATTTCTCATGATAACATTGCATTGTTTGCCAAATTTAATCTTTCTACGACAAACCATATTGAAAATATTTAAGAAAATGTTTAAAAATTTCTTATCTTAGCCACAAATGGCTAAAATATTTTGGTTTAGTCCAAAAATTTTTACACGAATCGTCATCATTTTGACTTACAGAAACACCTNGCATCCACAGCTCCACTTTAAGTTTTCTCTTGAATCCGCGCTCATTCTCCAGCCTCATCGGAATAGGAATGTTGTTATAAATGTTAGGCACACAAAAAAAAGCTCGCTCAAACAATTTAAGCCGGCGCTTTGGTATTGTTAACGTATACCTGTGTCTAACATTTATATTATGAAGACCAGTACGATAACCAATTTTGTTATATAAATAAGGAGAAGTCTTATAAATAAGTATTTTATGATACAAACAAGCACAGTGTAAAATTCTCCGTAGTGACATATCTAGCCAACCAACCCACTCAAGCTGGTGAGATATCCTCTCCCGTCTTCTGATCCCAAATATAAAACGAAGGCAAGAGTTTCTTACCCGTTGAATTCGAATTCTGTCCGCAGCATTAATGCAAGAATAGTAAAGCGGATCCTCATAGTTAAAGATGGATAACACAAGTGTTTCGCACAAATGTATTCTTAATTATTGATGTAACGGTTTTTATTGGAATACAACAGCTTGAGGGTGCAATAAGCCCACTGAAGAAGACTTCTGACATGACTTCTAAATCGCAAATCAGAGTCCAGCGCAACACCTAAATTGCGTACTACGTCTGAAAATTGAAGTCGTTGGTTGTTAATAAGCAGGGCACGGAACTTTTGTAACAAAACGATACTATTTCCCCCCTCCACTCGTTCTCAGTGGCGTCCGCTGAGAAAATCTTGATTAACAGAACAGCAAAAAAAATTGTGTTAACAAAAATTGTTCCTGAAACAATTCTAAACAAACTTAGTCAACATTTTGTTTTGATTTAATCAATAATTAAGGAGATAACCTCAAAATAATAATTTTTCCGTTTTTATACATAATTATACTTACGATTAGATGCTTAATTAATAAAGATGTAAAATTTTTTTATTAAGATAATTGATTCAAAATCGAAATTGAAACAAATTTTATTTAAAACATTTTTTGATGAAAACAATAATTATTGAGATAATTAATTTTGATAGCATAATATTCAGAGGGAAATTAAAATTTCAAGTTAGCAAAAAATGGTATTAACAAACACTGTTCCTGAAGTAATTCTAAACAAATTTTGTTAGCAACGTTTTTTGATTAAATCAACAATAAGGATATAACCTCAAAAATATTAATTTTTGTAGCACACTGTTCACAGAGAAATGAAAATTTCAAGTTAGAAAAAATTGTTTTAACAAACACTGTTCCTGAAGCAATTCTTAACAAATATTGTTAACAAAATTTTTGGAATTAATCAATAATTAAGGAGATAATCTCAAAATAATAATTTTTCCATTTTTATACATAATTACACTTAGATGCTTAATTAATAGAGATGTAAAATTTTTTTATTAAGATAATTGATTCAAAATCGAAATTGAAACAAATTTTATTTAAAACATTTTTTGATAAAAACAATAATTATTGAGATAATTAATTTTGATAGCATACTATTCAGAGGAAAATTAAAAATTCAAGTTAGCAAAAAATTTTGTTAACAAACACTGTTCCTGAAGTAATTCTAAACAAATATTGTTAATAAAAATTTTGGATTTGATCAATAATTAAGAACATAACCTCAAAAAAAATTTTATATATATTTTTTTTATTGAAAAACTCGTTTTAGTATTTAATTTAGAACAACTTTTGTATGAAATTTTCTGCTGAGAACGAGTGGAGGGGGGAAATCGTATCGTTTTGTTACAAAAGTTCCGTGCGCTATTAATAAGTATATTTAAGGACTGCCTAACGTTATTCGCTGGCAACCCTCCTCCGAAGACAATAACAGAAAATTTTGATGCATTTATAGATAAACAATGGCGCCTGGCGTTCTGAAGCAATAAATCAAGATCAGAATTAATTCGAAGTTCGGACATGCCCAAGTCTCTCCCATCAAAACTGAGGTATATTTGAATATCATCAGCATACATGTGGGTTTTGCAATGCTTTAGATTGGAACAGAGATTAATAGTGTAAATTACGTATAATATAAGTCCCAAGATTGATCCTTGAGGTACACCTGAAGTAATATAACCTCTCTTCGACAAAACACGCCAACGGGGAGAAACCAACATAATGAAGCACAGCAAGTAAAGTCGAATGATGGAGGTTGTCAAACGCCTTAGAAAAGTCAATTAGGATAAGAGCCGTAACAGTTTCCTCATCCAATCCACGCAAGATATCATCGATCACATTCAGAAGAGCCTGAGACTGAGTAGATGGAAGTAAATTAAAAGTATTAAGATGATCCCAAATCCTTACAGCTACAGTCTTAGAGCAAACATTTAAGATGCTAATAGGCCGAAGATCATTTAGTCCTGAGGGGTTACTGCATTTCGGGATGGGAGACACTAAGGCAGTCTTCCATTGATCAGGAAAGACACCCAGCTCCAGACAAAGATTGACAATATGGCACAAATACGGAATAATCACAGGGCAACACAGAAGTAACATCTTTACGCTAATGCCATCATTTCCAACTGCATTGGTTTTAATAGATTGCAGCGCACGATAGATTTCGTCTTCCGATGCTAAGGAAAAGGATATGGTAGTACAGTTCTGAGGCAGAATATTAGAGTTGTAGAATTTAATAAGCTCTGCATCACCAGAGTTGGTAATTTGAAAGGCCAAANACTTCCAACTGCATTGGTTTTAATAGATTGCAGCGCACGATAGATTTCGTCTTCCGATGCTAAGGAAAAGGATATGGTAGTACAGTTCTGAGGCAGAATATTAGAGTTGTAGAATTTAATAAGCTCTGCATCACCAGAGTTGGTAATTTGAAAGGCCAAAAAAGAATTGTTAATCAAATCAGCATCACCAATGTTGCTAGGAATACTACCAGCTCTATTACCGCCAATGCCTAAAGACCGAAAGGCACCCCACAATTTCCTGGAATCACCACCCCTGAATATGTGAGATAAAAAAGCTTTTTTTTCACGTTAAAGTGCATTATTGGAGAAATTACGCAGTTTTTTATAATAGGTAAAATCAGAGGGTAGTCTGGAAGCCTTAAATGACTTATAGGCTTTATCCCTCAGCTTCATAAGCAGCCTAATATTGTCAGTAACCCAAGGGCGATAATTCTTACGTAATACAACAGTCTTGAAAGGTGCATATATATTGAAAAGATTAATAATATGATAATTAAAGAAATCAACCTTATCACCAATACTGGACATATGAAAAAATTCCCACCAAGACACAGCACGCAGATGGTCCAGAAAGGCTTCCGAGTTTAAATTCTTAAAATCTCTATATGTAATATTCTTAACAGGATTTGGACGTATTTCAAATGATAATGTGACAAAAACTAGTGAATGATCAGCAATATTGTGAATATCAGCGACTCCACATTCATCAATTGGTGCATCCACATTTAAGATTATAAAATCAATCAAGGTAGCAGAAGGAAGGGTGATCCGTGTTGGATTCGATGTAACTTGGTGAAGACTAAACTGCTCAATGGTAGGAATAAATCGATTACCATAAAAGCCATCAACATCTAAGCCATTGATGTTGAAATCACCTAAGCTGACAAGTTCGTCAGAAGATGGAGCAAGATAGGATAGGACATCTTCAAAACGCGAGAGAAATTCACCCAAACCTCCATGAGGTCGGTAAACAACACCAATAACCATGGAAACAGGAAAATCAATAAGTTCAATCCAAAGATGCTCTATAGCGGAAGATATTTCTTGAAATAAAATATTATATTTCAGTGTCGATTTAATGTAAAAGCCAACTCCACCCCCCGAACCTGCATTAGTGTGACTACAAGGACACAATCTACCAGCAAACACGGATTGATAACCATTAATTGAATATTGTGAAGTAATTGTCTCAGTATAAATCCAAGTTTCAGATATTGCAAAAATATCGAAGTTCCCATCGACAATCAAATCCTTAATATTTAGAAAATGAGCGGGTAAAGAACGAACATTTAAATGAGCAAATTTCATTATTGATCAGTTATAGATAGTACTATATGTAGAAATCAGGAGAACAGGAGGAATTCATCAATTTAATTGTTAAAATTAAAAAAATAAAATAAAACAAAAAAACCCTTTAATATAATTTACTCAAAAAAAAGAGAAAAAAAGAAAACAAACTCAACCGAGTTGACAATGTAAATAGCATAAAAGGTAATAAAAAAAAAAGAAAAGAACAATAGAAACTGGAGAGGGTACCAGGGTATGGGCTTCAATTCAAAACAAAACAATAAAAAAAAAAGCAAAGATGCGAAAGAAAATAATCAAACAAAGCGAAAAATTAACCTGGCTTTTATATATCTACCAAAGTCCATGCCAAAAACTCTATAATACATAATAAAAAAAAGTTAGTTAAATAAGCGAGTAATTATGCACACAATAAAAACAAGAAACAAAGCAAATAATAAAACAATAAAGATTAGTGAATTGGATTTCCGACTGGCTGAGCTCTTGATCTGGTAACTCTTCCTTCTTGATTCTTGGGTTTAAGATATTTTTCCAAATCATCAACATCACGGACAATAGCTCTCTTACCATTAGATGTGGCAACAAAGATTTTACCGTCAGCGGTCCATACATTTTTGGGACCTGCAGCTGCAGTGGCAGACTTATAAAGCTCCATGCGTTTCTTTGTTAGCGATTCAGTTATTAAAAATTTTGTCTTTTTAAGATTTCTCTTATTCATCCATACAAGATGCCGAGTAGCGTACGAAATAAATTTAATTATAATGGGGCGAGGTTTCAGTCTTTCAGTTTGTTGAGATGAAATACCATCCTTGGCTCGGAAAGCACCTATACGGTGCGCTCTGTCAATGTTTGATAAGTTCAAAGTAAACCCTTTCATTTGCAAATTACTGTTAATAAATTCAACCGCCACCTCGCCTGTATCTTCACCATTAGATTCTCTAACCCCATGTAATAGAAGGCAGTTCCTCCTAGAATATTGCTCCAAATCGTCCACCCTATTATCCAAATGGGAGATAATGGTTTTCATCTCATTCATCATCAAAATCATTTGATTTTTAAAGGCACCAAAATCTCGAATTATTTCCTGAAGTTTGTTTTCATCGCAATTCTGATGTGTATTGTCTTTGACTCCATCTAGTTGTGTTTGAAAGGTAACCATGGACGATAAAAAATTCTTTTCCATAGATGCAAGAGCATCTTTTATTAACTTATTCTCAGTTTTTCCTATTATCTTTTAGGAAAAACTAAAGAGACAAAAAAGTACCAATAATGAACAAGCTTGAAGTGAAGTTTAAGGTATGACGATTAAATAAAGTATTAACCAGTAGTAAATACATACAAAGTTTCAAATTCTACGGTTTACTTACAACCGAAATACATAACAAAATGTAAATTTTTGACTCAACTTTGATTGCTCATAGCTCGAAAACAAAAGAGTTGCGACCCTATGTTTATATAAAAAACTTGTGTTATTTTGGCAAGTATTACGTCCTAGTAAAGTTTCCCGATTAAAAACTGAACCACCCTGTATATGTATATACTAGTGATGTAAAAAAGTAACAATTCGTTATACGAGTACTCGTTACTCCGCGAGATCCGAAGTAACTGTTACCGTATCACATCGGTACCAGTTACTTTAGATCTAACAGTTACTTTTTCCAAAGGCCAAGTATTGTTGGATAGGCGAAATCGACTTAAAAGTCGAAATGCGCAACAAAATTTATTTTTACATTGCAATAATAAGCTGTAATATCTTTTATTGTTGTTTTAATATTTTTATTTTATTTTATTATTGCTTGTTTTATAGAAGAAGTTTTGTTTTCCATTGTTAATGTGTTTCTACTTTCAAATATTTTTGTTATATAATAAGTGAAACGTAAGTTATTAATAATTAAATAATAATAATTAAGAAAAATTCTTCGTTATAATATGCAGTGAAAAAGTAAATCCCATAACCTACACTCTATTTTTTGATATTAGTGCACAGTGCATAATAGCATAACAAACACAATATAATATACGTACAGTATTTGTTTTCAAAAATAAGTGTAATATAAAATAAAATCATATAAGTATGTAGTCCAACTAAAACGAGTAATCGAACCTCGAGCACAAACTAGTACTGGAACCTCAAGCGCAAACGATTACTTGTAACGAGTAACCAGTACAAAGTAACGAATACTTTTTCTGAAAGTAACGGATAGTTACAAATACTAAAAAGTAACTAAACTTTACATCACTAGTATATACCAATATATGCAGTAAGTATACAGGTTTCCCAAAAGTAACGGATAAATTGGCTAAAACAGTTAAGAACAGTTTATGGAAAAATCGCTGAGACGGGTGTAAAGATTTAAATTTTTTCCTCCATTTTTATACGAGTAATGACGTCAGCGACATTTTTTTCAAATAGCCATGCTTCATTTCTACTACGGAATATGAAGGAGGACTCTTTTCTGAATCTAGTACAGTCGATATTAATATTGGTTACATACGAAAATTTTCGAGAAAAATTATCTTAAAGTTTCATGATTTTCCATTCATTTGAGATAGAAAAATAGCAGTAGCCATGCGTAACCATGGCAACCAACTGTTTGAGATATCAAAAATTAATCATTGTCTTAATAAAATATCTAAAACAACTGGTTGCCATGGTTACGCATGGCTACTGCTATTTTTTTACCTCAAATGAATGGAAAATCATGAAACATCTCAGCGATTTTTCTATAAACCGTTTTTAATTGTTTTAACGAGTTTATCCGTTACTTTTGGGAAGCACTGTATACCTAAATGAATTTTGAAATATTTTTCTTAATCTCACTTTTTTTAATAAAAAATAACCATCGTTATTTTTTAAAGCCAAATCCCTGTTTCTCGTAAATTTCTTAAACGTCACCATTTACCACTTCGTGACACAAGCAAATTTAGCACAAAATAAAAGACTCTCCTTGGAATTCACGGCACAGTCGTTCCTACTCCTTCATTCTCTGGATAAAAGCGAACATTTTTCCCCCAAGGATCGCATCCTTTTTCTCCTCTCCAATAAGATTGCCACGCCATAACGTATACGAACCAGAACTTCGTTCGAGGTCACAGAGAAAAAAAAGAACGTTGTATGTTTCAGTTTCACGTGGAAAAAGAAACATGCGGATGGACGGAACCAATATTCCATCCGGTCTTTTCAAACAACGGCACCCAAGCATTAGCCAGACTTCCGGTTCGCGATGGCAACAATGGTCATTACATGCACGTTTGTCAAATATACGACTACAATGTTCTTCCTTTAACTCACGGAGCTTTTGAAATTACGAAAATTTTAGCGTGGGACGAAGAATCCCATATTATGTAAATCCGATTTAATTTCTTATGATACTTATTAACATTTTAATTTTTAGTTATGCTATTGCTACAAATGAAAAAGAACCTGCAGTTAGACATTTATTTAAAGTAGGAGATTATAATTCAACGCAACCATGGACATGTCTTACGTGTCGACCTCAAATCGATTTTAATAAAACTTTCGATGCTGATTATTTTAACACGACAATGTATAATAATTCATTAATGGCTCACTATAAATGTGACTACAACAACGTGATATTTAGTCATGCGTATAAATATTACATACAAGAATGTCTCGGGCCGAACGTCCCTGTTGTCTTCCTAGTAGAAACTTCCACAAATTTCAGAATAGCCGTATTGAATTTCGGTACAAATTTACAAAACGAAGTAATACAATACGCGGCACCTCAAATAAAAAGGATTTCGGTGATATTAGAAGATGAGTATCAAGCCCAGGTGAAGTTGTTTTTACCTCCAGTTCTTCGAGAATACGAAGAAGTAGTGTTCCCGACAATTCTGTATATGTAAGAAAAGTTTTCAACATTAAATTCGTTTTTAACTTTTATAGCTTTGTAGTGATTCAAAACCTGGAGCTCAATCTGTTACAGAAAAATGGGATGCATCATGGGCGTGGTTTTTAGCAAGTACAAGAAATTACATTGTTGCTTACGTTGATGTAAGAGGATCGGGGTATCAAGGCGAAAAAATGAAAAGAGAGATATTAAACAAGTAAGTATGATTTTTGTTATTATAGTTTCTTTTATGAGTCGCATTAAAAGTCACGTCCTCAAATGGTTTCGGGTGCTAAATGACTTTATTACAAAGAAACCATATACTTTTTATGTCTCTATAAAGTAGAAATGATAATGTAATAATTTATTGGAGCCATTCTTTATTAAACCATTTCTATTCTTTAGAGAGGTCATCAAAAATTATCGTTGTAGAACTAGTCAGATCAAATAAAAACTATCCAATCAATTAAAACTAGGGATTTAATTTGTAGGATTGGATCAACAGATGTTCAAGATCAACTAGCTGTTTTAAGCTATTTCAGAAACGAATTAAAATATGTAGATAAAACAAAAATCTGCGTCGTCGGTCGAGGATATGGCGGTTATATTTCAGCGATGATGTTAATGATTGATATACATCAAGTTATTAATTGCTCCGTTAGTATATCACCAATTACAGATTGGTATTTGTACAGTAAGTAATTTTTTAAATTATTTTTCTTTTAATTTAATGCACATAAAACGTTTGAACTAAAATTAGAACTAAACTTGACTTACAACTATAATACAGTAAAACACTAGATACTTTCTAGTTCAAGGTCTAGTGTTAGTTCTAGTTTTATACTAGCACTATCACTAGAACTAATACCCCAGTAAACAAATTTGCGTTTTAGAAACATTTCTGATACATATTATTGAAATTTGAATTGACAATTAGAAACTGTCGAAACACAAAAAATGTATTCACCTGAAAAAAATGTTGGAATAATTAAAGAATACCTGTCCCACTTAAAAATCGATGATTTTTTTTTTAATCGGTAGGAAATGACTCAAAAGATGTGTTACTGATAAAANCTTGTGAGCGTTGTCATGAATCTGTTAGTGTTTTCACAAGCCGAAAATGTTTTCTTTGAAAGGAAAATCATTAAATAATATCTTTGACAATATTTGACATATAACCTCCATTACTAACATAACCTACATTTAAATGTATGTGGTGAAATAAGCTAAGTCGTACGTCCATATCTTGATTCATACCATTTTTAAGCGATCTGTCACTGCCAGCTCTCGTGGTTTCTACTATACAACATAATTATTCATAATGACCTATGTGAAGTTAGCCCCCAATTATAAATAGCATTTTACATGTATAGTATTTTGATTATAACATGAGAACCAGTGAACCGATTTCGATAAACAATGTCTCATTCGAAAGCTTAATCCTTGGCCAATACGAAAGTGGAAATGCCCGATTTGAAAACTCTTTCGAATTTCGCTAAAACGCCAAAATAATGCGAAGATACACGAAAATAACACAAAATTGACCTTCTTTAAGTGGTGATAACTCGTAAACGATGTACCCGATGATCAAAATCTATACGTCACTCGATTCGTCATAGTGTCTTCTATCGAAATTACAAAATGCTCGATTTCAATTCTCTCCCGCTAAGTTTATACAGCCCTCGGAATGACACCATCTTCGGCTCGTTGTTTATGCACGTGTGAACGCTAAAAAATTAATTTAAACTAAATCGACTATAATTAGAGAACAAGTTTGTGTCTGGCTGAATTTTGATTAAAACAAACGAATTAATTAAACACATCAATTATCTCCGTAACTAATTGACCAATTTTAGTCATCAAAATCTCGGTCGAAAGTATGATCTGCAATGAATGCGAAGGTGGAAATGCCCGATTTCAAAATTTACTAATTATGTGCGTACAGCCATTGAAATGACCCCGCGAGAGATTTCGAGTCGGGCATTTCCACTTTCGTATTGGCCAAAGATTAAGCTTTCGAATGAGATTTTGATTATCGAAATCGGTTGACTGGTTTTCTTGTTATAATCAAAATACTATACATGTAAAATCCTATCTAATTGGGAGCTAGAAAAATTTGGAGCTAACTTCGCATAGGTCATAATGATTAAGTGCCTGTCGTTACATAGACTGTGTGTCTATTAACTATGTACAAGAGCGTCGCCAGCTAGGAGCAAAGATAGATTCGAAAAAAGAAATTGAATAGAATATAAGATACAAATAGATTCTAAAAATCTATTTGAAATGTTTATAATGTTTGTTTTTTTTTATATGTTCTAACTCAAAATCTAATTTCTACACAAAATTCTTATTTGGGCGATATTACATCGATAAAAGCAAGATTGACGATTTTTAAGCAACATGTATATTGTAAAATTATACGAAGATGGGTTTATGGAAAAGTTGAACTTGTTCATTCATAAGTAAATAGTTATTATTATTTTTATATTTTGTTACACGAATGTAAAAGCTCAACTAATCCATAATTTATATTATGTTCAGTCTTTATGTGGTGCTTAGAAATATTGGAATTTTCTTTAGTTTTATGTTTACGAATTCTGGTTTTCAGCCTCCTCCACATTTGTCCGATAGCAACAAACTTGTATTTATAATTTTTTATCTACTTTCTTAGCTGATATCTTTCTTATTATTAGAGATAATTCGAGATAATAATTAGAGATTCTTTCTCTATCTAAAACGTCGATAAGTTAATACTAAGATCAATCTGTACTTAAACTACAAAGCGGTGGCTCTGTACTTAGATTAAATAGCTTAAAATTGCCAAACTTCAAGCCTTTGTGCAATTGTTATCAAACCGAATTTTAAAAAACTATTATCACACTCGGAAAGAGCGCTCTTTAAATTTATTATATCTTAACCCGGGTTTTCGTTGGTAAATGGGTCTATCGGCGTCATGCTTAAATCGCCCTTAATATACATCCCTACACGCAAAAACGCTTAATTACTATTCCTTTAAACAACTTTCTTATTTGATAGGGGGAAAACTATAGAAGTATAGATCTATCTTATCTACAATTTGCTGCTCTTTCTAATGGTGTATAACATGCGGCTATCGCTGCTTGGTTATAGAGTTTTTTCCTGGTGATATAAGAAAGTTATTGATCCCAACAATGTTTAAAAGTAGCTGAGTGTGAATTTGGTAATTGTTTGACCAAAAACGTCCTTGTGTAAGTCTATAACTTCATGATATACTTCTATAGTTTTCCTCATATCAAATATGTAAGAAAGTTGTTTAGAGCTTTCAAATGGTGCATTTAGTTTTCCGCTATCTCTAATAATAAGAAAGATATCAGCTAATAAAATAGATAGGAAATTACGGGTAAAAGTTTGTTGTTGGAAGGTTTGTTGCTATCGTCACACGGGTTATTTATTTATTTTTATTTTGTAACCATGTATACACGTCTTTTTTAATATACATGTCTTTTTTAATAACTATTTTAATTTAAGTAAACTACTATTAAATAAGCTACTATACTTATTTATCATTTATATTTACAACATAAAGATATTTCAGTCGTTTGACAGATCAATTGATACACAATCTATTAACACAAAGTCTATTAACACACATTTGGTAGAAACAATTCTATCTAACGACAGGTAATTGTCGTTACGCATTGATAGCCTAAGAAATAAGGTTTTCAATCGAAAATATGTTGTAATCTCAATAAGTTTAGTGAAAATAACTTTTTATTTTGTGCGTGGGTGTAAATTAAACAATTTCAGATTTAATTAATACGAAAATGCATATTTAACATTGCTTTGAAATTCCAAAAAGAAACGTCAAATCGCAACTTTAAAGTGATTTTTCGGTAAGTACTACACTTTTCCGCACTTTTTTTTATCATTAACNTCTAATACGAAAATGCATATTTAACATTGCTTTTAACTTCCAAAAAGAAACGTCAAATCGCAACTTTAAAGTGATTTTTCGGTAAGTACTACACTTTTCCGCACTTTTTTTTATCATTAACACATCTTTTGAGTCATTTCCTACCGATTAAAAAAAAATTCATCGATTTTTATGAGGGACAGCTAATCTTAATATATGCCCATCGTATCTCGTAAATGAGATGTGTTGTAATAAAAAAAAATTTTATTTTTCTCTTTTCTACTTCTGTTGTTGTTTTGGCCACTATTAATCGCAAAAATTCGCAACATTACTTTATTTACAATAATAAAATATCTACTTTAATATGTTACAACATTTTAAAACACGTAGCAATAAAAAAACTTAGATTAGCCAGAAAAACTTTACAATAGTATCTAACAATTTAATCATCAAACGTTATCGATGCATTTTTTAGTTTCAAATGTAATATACAATATAGTCGTAATCTTTTGTGCGATATTCTAGTTGTCAACACATTCTTAATGTTTAAATCACCCCATTTTATATCAACTATTTAAATGTGCATTTTTGTGTTAATCTAAGGTATGATCTCCAATTATTAAAGAATTCAACTTTTCTATCAAATTTTATTATTACTTTAGATAGAAATGCTTTATCTTAATGAAAGTGTAGAAATGGAAAGATTAATTCATAGTAGTAATACACAAGATCAAAGTGGCGATACCCCAATTGAAATTGCAGCAAGAAATAGAGACACAGAAACGTTTAAAAGGTTGTTTCAACAAAATTCGACTAACAATCCTCCATTTACTAAGGTTGAATTAGAAAAATTATTTAAAATTCTTACAGACGATAAAATCCGCAACCAAGATTGTTTGCATTTTTTGCTAAACCAATCTTGTTTACCCATAGATATGGTTAATTCAAAAGGTTATACACCTTTACACATCGCGATACAAATTGTAGATCATGATGCAGTGATTAATTTATTAGAACGTAGAGCTTCTTTGGCTAACAAAGCTGGTAAGATGGATCTTATGCCTATTCATAATATTTATCCAAAGTTGTTAGAAAAACACTTAGACGATTGCATTGTGTATAAAGATTTGTTAGATGAATGTGATGAAGCAGGAATGGTAATAGAATTTAATTATACATCATTTCTTAGCGATGAAGATTCAAAAAAAAGAGAACCATTTTCTGAGATGGATGTAATTTCCGTTATTAGCGAAACCCCGGAATTACAATATTTATTAAGTCACCCAATCATCAGTGGTTTTTTATATAATAAGTGGCGGAGATTGTTATGGTTTTTTATAGTTAATATTGTTTTTCACTTCGTCTTTGTCGCCTTTTTAGTTGTACATATAACTATGTCAAATTCAATTTATTATTATGGATTAGCTTTTACGTTAGGCGTTTTAATTTTAAAAGAAGCGATACAAATTATATTTTCACCTACAAGTTACATCACAGATTTCGAGAATTACATAGAAATATCGATGATAATTTCAACCGTTATTACACTTTGTAATGAACATGGACATGTATCATCAGCTGTAGCTATTTTGTTAACATCAATTCAAACGATGTTTTACATCGGCAAGCACCCGGCTCTTTCTATTTATGTTTCATTTTTAAAAACGGTTTCTTTGAATTTTTTTAAATTTATACTTTGGTCATCAATTTTACTCGTAGGTTTTACACTAAGCTTTTTCATAATTTATAACAAACCAATAGATAATAATATAAACGGAAATTACACCAACAACACTAACATTGAAGAATCCGATTTTTACGCCAGTAGAACTTTAACATTCACAAAAATAATCTTAATGTTAGTTGGCGAATTAGACGCAAACCCCTCTTATCTACAAACACTTTTTAACCAAATAATATTTTTATTTTTCATTTTCTTTATGACAATAACACTTTCTAATGTAATTAACGGTTTGGCCGTTCACGATATTCAAACGACTGAATCTAAGGCGGAAATTAATAGTTTAATTGAACGAACTCGTCGCATTATTTATATCGAACGATTTCTACTCGACAACAGAGTTCGATGTTTATTAAACTGTTTCAATATCCACGAATTAATTTGCAAGGAAATATTTCTGTTTTACGACATATTTAAGAACAAAACAATTGAATTCACGTTCTACAATGCGTTAATTGCCCATAAACCTCCAGAAGAACTCTTCGCTTATATAATGCTTAAAGTAAAAAATTTGTTTAAGACGATAACGTGTTGGAGAGCTTTAGAAAAGAAATCGACAAACAACGCGAATAAGATCGTATTGGAACGATTAATATCGAAAAAGAAATCTTTTGATCAATGTATAACTAATATTAAGAGGAATGTTGATAAATTTGTCGAAGAATTAAAAAATAATTCAATACCTCCGTTAGAATTTGAACATATAAATATAGTAAATGATTTAAATACTTTGGAAAAATATTTAAATTAATCTACTATTGTAGATTAATATCATGTTGTGTTTAAAAGATTATTGAGATTAAAAGTGATTTTTAATGAATTCTACTTTCTTTATTCTTTTAAAACCCATTAATAGATCATACTTATTGAAATATGTTTGTCCAAAGAAATGTTTGAAGATAAAGGAGAATAAATATCACTGACAAACAAAGTTTGTAGAGAATAATCTGATAAGAATGCTAATACAGAAACAGATGTTTTTGCTGCCTTTATATTTTTACAGTTCTTTTTAGAGCTATCGTTGTTTCTAGCGGTTGCTTTAAGCGGTAAGTCAATAAACAAATCAAAATAACCACTACTTTCAACATTAATTTCAATCTGTGGGTACACTAAAAATTATTTTAAATAAAAGGACAGAAAATAAGACCTTTTTTATATTTAAAATATTTTTTTAATTATTAAAATATATTTTAAACGGCTTTTAAAGTTAATGAATTGGCGCCATCGTTTCTAGGAACTTTCGTCGCGTTGCAATACCAATCGGTGATATTGGTTGCATACTTAGTCGGTTACGATCATATATATACTATCTCCTATATCGCTGACTAAGGCAGCAAAAGAGTGTAAACACTAGAGTGCAGATATATATATATCTGTCTCTGTCGTGCCCCCGTCTACTCAAGAGATATGCGTGAACACGCTTTTATCTTATTGGACGGTGAATTAAAAATTAATAGCAGCTGATGACCTTGATGTTTATAAATCACCAAATAAATGTTTGACATAAACATAACCTAAAATCTAAATATTTAGTTATGTATATTATAGGTTTCATGTGTATAATAACATAATTATTAACATATTTTAGGACTAAGCAATTTAAAATGTAATTATTATTTGTTAAGAAAGTGAAGAAAATTTGTTAAAAGTAAAATAAAAAAGAAAAAGAGTAGGGGAGATATTTTTGGGGCCTAAAAATTGGTTGAGCAGGTAGAAGGAAAGATCTCAGTGTAATAAAAAAGAATTCAAAGCCCTCCTTTTCTTGAAACATTTTTCTTAAAAATTTAATTAATAATTACATCGATATGATGAAAATTTTATGATAGAATATTATGTACATTAAATAGTAAGTACCCTAAGTACATATTTTATATCTTTAATTAATGTAACAACTTCATTAAAGGGCGTGAGCTCACAAATTATGTTAAAAATTAATAACTATATTTTGGTACACATTTTTAATAATTACTATGTATATATGTATTAATTTAATTTTAAAGAATATAATGTTTAATGAACAACCTACATAAAGTTGATATTTAAAGCAATATTCAACGTCAATTTCACACAAAAGTACATATATTCTAATTTATTTGATGCATCTACGATAATTTATAATTAAAGTCAATTATCTACAATAATTACATTTCAAAGCTGCATAAAATACGCGCGAAACACTTCAAACTCTTTAAAATTTACGATTCGCGCAAGCGCCTTCGCGACATCGGGGGCACGACAAAGACAAAACATATATCATTCCGTCTGCTTTTGATGGAAACGCTCGCCACTCATTGCTTAGATAAGGAGTCAGCGATATAGGAGATAGTATATATATGGTTACGATCATAATATATACAGGTATTTCAGCGAGACCGGTCATTAAACCCTTGTTTATAGATATACATCGTTATTCAACCGATGTTAGTTTGTGCACATGATACCCAGATGGCAGGGTAATTTATGTGTCGCCATTCATAAAAATTTAAATTTTACTATACGCGTCGTAACGTATTACTACGAAAAACGTAAAATAAGTTGCATACATTTTAGTATTTCTTGCATAGAAAAAAATCGATAATGTGTCCTTCGAGAATAATACCGAATTGTTGGAGATTATTCGTCGGTAGGTACCGATTTGTAGACTCCAAATTTTTTTAAGTAGGTGTATGAACAGGTTTTATGAGAGGAAACCAACTGCGTTGAATCTTTTTAAGAAGTTTGTTTAAAAGACTATATTTTATATACCGAGTAAGGCATTCAAATTGAGCCTACCTAATAACTCATAAAACATCAATTTTATTAAAAAAGTTTCAGATAAAACTTTCATCGTATAAAGGCGGAAAGTATTCTGAACGATTTTTATTGCATATTAGAAGCGCCATCAATATTTTTCAATTGTTAAGTATGCTTTTCAAAGGCTACATATTTTTTGATAAGCATGGTTTTTCGAAGGAACGGCTAATTGAAAAGTTACCTATAATCCCACAAAATATATTAACTGCCCAACGTCGTTAGTAATTCATTTCACGTGTTATATAATGTAGTAACATTATTGTTATGTATGTTGGTATCGGAACAACTTCATGTTGCTGGCACGTTCCCGCCAAGACAATAATAAGAGAGACGCTTGCATGTCGCTTGTTTGTACTTGTTTGGACTTGTATAAAAATTATAATAGTCGTAGTTGGTTAATAAAGTAAATACAATATAATAGTTGTTGATGAATTATATGAACGCTGGTAGTTCGCTTTATTGATAAACAGAACATAAGATATGGTGTCAGGTGTATAAAAGAAAAAAAAAAAAGTGCATAAAATGGAGTTTAAACCACCGAAAACATTAGATTTTTCTAATAATCCTGCTGAAACATGGGTTATTTGGAAACAAAAGTTTAATCTTTATATGAAAGCATCGCAAAAAGATAACCTAGAAGATGAAAGTGTTAAAATTGCCATACTCTTAAACGTTATTGGTGACGAAGGCCTAAGAATTTACAACACGTTTAAAAGAGATAAAGATGAAACACTAGAAAAAACTATGAAACAGTTTGAAGAGTACTTAATTCCAAAAAGAAATCTTGTAGTAGAAACATTCAAGTTTAATAACTTACAACAAAAAGAAGAACAAACAATAGATGCATACATTACGGAGTTGCGTACACAAGCTGCATTATGTGAATTTAAGTGTGAAAATGATAAATGTAAACAAACATATGAAGATAGAATGATAAGAGACAAGCTAGTTACAAGTATTTTTGACAAAAACGTGCAACAAAGATTGTTGGGAGAAAGTGATATTTCCTTAGAAAAAATTCAAGGTTATTGTAAATCAATTGAATTAGGAAAATATCACGCGCAAGTATTAAACCCTTTAAAAGAAATAAACCAAGTAAAGNGATCGTTTGCAACAAATTTAAACTCTCAACGCAAGCTTATAAACCATTCTTATATATGTGCATTCTTGAATTACATAATATGTCACATATTTTTATAAATACCTTGATTTCGTTATTTATTCAGTATTTAAAATGTTGTTGCAGAATTTCCTTAATTAGAACTGCATCTTTAGAGCTTAATAAGAACTTAAATATACAAGGTGATTTATTAGCTCACCATTAAACTTTGACATATGATAGCTAATCCAATTACCAAAAAAAAAGTATATATCCTGTTATATGATGTAGTAACATTATTGTTATTTATGTTGGTATCGGAACAACTTCATGTTGCTGGCACGTTCCCGCCAAGACAATAATAAGAGAGACGCTTGCATGTCGCTTGTTTGTACTTGTTTGGACTTGTATAAAAATTATAATAGTCGTGTACACTGTTGGTTAATAAAGTAAATACAATAAAATAGTTGTTGATGAATTATATGAACGCTGGTAGTTCGCTTTATTGATAAACAGAACATAAGATATGGTGTCAGGTGTATAAAAGAAAAAAAAAGTGGATAAAATGGAGTTTAAACCACCGAAAACATTAGATTTTTCTAATAATCCTGCGGAAACATGGGTTATTTGGAAACAAAAGTTTAATCTTTATATGAAAGCATCGCAAAAAGATAACCTAGAAGATGAAAGTGTTAAAATTGCCATACTCTTGAACGTTATTGGTGACGAAGGCCTAAAAATTTACAACACGTTTAAAAGAGATAAAGATGAAACGCTAGAAAAAACTATGAAACTGTTTGAAGAGTACTTAATTCCAAAAAGAAATCTTGTAGTAGAAACATTCAAGTTTAATAACTTACAACAAAAAGAAGAACAAACAATAGATGCATACATTACGGAGTTGCGTACACAAGCTGCATTATGTGAATTTAAGTGTGAAAATGATAAATGTAAACAAACATACGAAGATAGAATGATAAGAGACAAGCTAGTTACAAGTATTTTTGACAAAAACGTGCAACAAAGATTGTTGGGAGAATGTGATATTTCCTTAGAAAAAATTCAAGGTTATTGTAAATCAATTGAATTAGGAAAATATCACGCGCAAGTATTAAACCCTTTAAAAAAGATAAACCATGTGAAGAAGAAATGTAATTACTGTGGATTACAACACGAACCAAGAAAATGTCCCGCATATGGTAAAACATGCGCAAATTGTCAGGGTCGTAATCACTTTGCAAAAGTTTGTAAGAAGGACAAGAGAACACAAGAACAAGAAGAACGAAAAGGAACACCAAAAGAACAGAAAAAAGAAAAAATAAATGAAGTTCAAGAAGATAACAATGAAGAGGAAATTTCAATAATAAATACCGAAACAGAAGAAAAAGAAGATGTAGAATTGTTCATTTACTCTGTAACTTGTAAGAAAAAAAAATTGCTGGAATGAAAACTTAAAAATATTAAATAATGAAATAAAATTCAAATTAGATACTGGTGCTGACGTAAGTGTTTTACCTTTACATATTTTCAATAGTTGGATTTGACAATTTTGGATTAACAATTGGATTTAACACCGATTACGTTAGTAGCTTTTGGCAATAATAAATTAAAACCTGTAGGGAAAATAGATTTATCTTGTGGTTATAAAAATGTATCAAAGATTATTAGTTTTGTTGTTGTAAACATAAAAACAGAACCATTGTTAGGTTTAAGTGATTGTTTAAAATTTAACTTGTTAGGTAGAATTAATACTTTAAATAAGATTGATGAACAAACAGAAATGCCTAAAAACAAAACTGAATTATTGGAAGGTTACCAAGATTTGTTTGATAGCTTAGGTGAAATAACAGGTACATGTAAAATTGAATTAACAAACAGTGCTATACCTACAATTCAAGCAAAAAGAAAAATTCCGTTATCATTAAGAC